ATAAATGTTGCAAAAGTTCCCTGTCAGCATAAGAGGACAAAATACATAGATATTAGACATCACTTCCTAAGGGACAATATTGAAAAAGGTCTTATATCTATGCAGTTTTGTAAAACTAAAAATCAAATTGCTAATATTTTCACTAAAGCTCTTGTTAGACAACAATTTAAGAGAATTGGGATGGAGCTTGGGTTAATCAAGGTTAACTCAACATTTTGTTCATAATCTTCTTTCCTTTGGAATTAAAAAAAATTCTTTTCCCGACGATGGATGGATGATGATTGTCTTGAGGAGTATTTTCGTCAAATTTTCTCTTCCTGATTGTGAACATCTTTGCATGAACAGGAAAAAGGGCACACACATGGAATCACCGGAACACGAAAAAGGTATAGTTCCATTTTATATTATTAGCTTCAGTGCTCAAAAGTCACTCAATCAGTCATAATCACGTCCCATCAGCCCAGGTTCCTGCCTAACCTTTGATATTCCCAAAAAACCTCTTCACATACCCTCCCATTCATATTTCTTCCAAATCCGTTCTTCTCCCTCATCAGTTTTCACACCATCTCTTCCCTCACCATGTCTGCAACCTCTCTCGCCTACCCCGACGGTCCCAACTTTTCTCTCTCCCATGACGCCTCCACTCCCCATCTTGCTGGACCCTCACCATTCCAAACCAACTCGTCTCTATCTGCTATGCCGGCAAGCCCCATACCCAGCACCAAAAACCCTATTTTGATCCCTCTCTTTTCCATTATACAGCCTCCGATCGAAGGATCATTGGGTCCGCATATTGACCCACTGCCGGTGGCCTCCCCGAGTTCATCTATAGAAATTGTCCCTTCCTTGCTTTCACCTGGAAAGAAGTCTGTGAGCAGTTTGAGCCCCACCTCATCGGCTCCGATTGATCTGGAAACTTTAATCTCCAATATCCGAAGTCAGTATGCCCCTCAAGATTCTGTTTCCAAATCTCCTTCTCCGACATGCTCTGCTTCGACTGACACTGCCTCTACCTCTGCTGTGTGTGATAACTCTCCTAAAAAAAACCTCTTTTTGATTCTGCTAGTGCGGATGATCTTGTTCCCATATCGGAGCTAAATAAAGGTACTCGAAAGAGAATTTTGCCCTCTAGTCAAGAAGTGGAGTCTGGGTCTAAAAAACCCCATGTTTCTGATCCAGCCTTTCGCACATGGGCTCGTCGGAGCTCTTCCGGTGGGTCCACTGCTATTCCCAATCCTAGCATTCCCAAATCAAAGGTTAAACCCTTCTCTGAGAGGAAGTTGCTGAAAGGTAAAATGGTGTTTCCTTCTTCTGATCCATACTTGACCAATTTGTGGTTGAAAATTGAAGCTCAGGGTTGGTAATCGATTTTTTCGAACAGGGATACTTGTGTAGCTAAGGCAGAGGTTGTTGATTTCTTTAAGAATTTTTCTATTTTGAGGGAATGTCTAGGGTAGGGAATGTTCTTGTTGTTTTTTATTCCACTAAGTTGAGCTCCTTGTTGGGTATCTCTTGCTCTGGGTTTGCTACTAGCTAGAAGAACAAATGGCACGATCTTCCCCCTCCTTTGACACCTCTAGGAATTGTTAGGAAATTCTCTGGTGTTCCTTCTAGGACATCTGTGTCTAAGGTCCTCAAAAGATCAATGTCTCTTTATCACAAGTTCCTGTTTACTTTTGTGATAAGGAATTTATTTCCTCGTCAACAACATCGGATACTGCCTGATATTCGGACTTGACCTTAATGAAACTGCTTGATCGTAGAATGCCCATCAATTTTCCTGCGCTGATCATTGCTTATCTCAACAAGGTTGTACATGATGTTAGCCAGAATCCTGCACTTCCTTATAGATTTTTGTTAATGCTAAATTGGGAGTCAATTTTTCTTCAGTAGAGCACCATTCGACATATGATGCCCTTGACTATTATGAATCTAGAGGTTCCCTCCAAGTGGATGGAGTGGATGGTTCCTTTAGTGCTGCTGGTTCCTCACCTCCCAAGGAGAACTCTGCTATGATGCATCTGGAGATGGAGAATCAGAACCTGCGCTTGGAAATTGAGCAATTGAAAGCTCAACTGGCTTGGAATGAGGACATTGTTCTGGCTAGACATAATGACCTAATATCCCTAATTCAGAGTTTGTCCCCCTCGATTGCTCCCTCCTCTACTATGACACAACCTTCTAACCCTAACTCTTAAACCCCATCTATGTGCTGAGCATTTCTAGTTTTAATATGTTTTGGCTTGTACTCTGTCAAGTGTTCCTGTTTTGTGTCCCGACTTGTTCAATGCTTGGATTGTTTCTAATCAATCTGTTTTCTAGTTATGCTTGTTTCCTTTTCACTGATGCCAAAAGGGGGAAGTTTATGCTTGATTGTTGGTTGTGCTTAATTATTGATTAACTGTTAGAAGCTTATAACAACATATCTCATGATTTAAGCAAATTTGATATTTGTCATCATTAAAAATGGAAAATTTTTTGGGATTAGTTTTAATGATATTTGATGATAAATTAAAATATACTTGAAACATTATAAAAATAAATAATTATCATAGCTGGCCAACTAATACTTGGTACAATATTAAGTCGTGTGTTACTAATTGAGTGAAATTGGAAGTTGGTCGAATAACCTGTGTTATTTACTAATTGGCTACTAATTGGTTGTAGATTTCTAGTGCCTTGATTAATTGCAGGAAAAGGAACAGAGAGCCAAAATTCAACAAGCACTCTATAAGGAAATTCTTTTTCTAAGGAAAGAATTAAAGTGTGGGCTGAAAAGGAAAGGGAATATTTGGTAAGAGATTGTGGAATCCTAGAAGGAGTCAACAAGATCTTTCAAATAGATCTTTCAAATAAGGAAAAGAGTCTAAAGCTTCCTTCTCTGGTTGAGGGACAACTGGTACATTCGGGTACTATAAATAAAGAGGCTTCACCATGTCCAAGCTTGGCATTCGCCGTGAAGAATCTTTAGCAAAATCCATTGTTCTTTGGCATTCAATTGGCATTCAAGTCGAAGAAAGGACCGGTGCTAGAGATTGTCCCCTAGTTCGTCTGCTATAGTCTAGGTGTAGGTGTCAACTTGTAGGAATCATTTAACTTGTTTTGATCTAATTCTCGTTTTCATTCTCTTGTAATTATATTAGAAGTTCTTCTTGTTAAACTAAGGTAGTTTATACAAAGTTAGGAACTTGTAAGGATTAAGGGTAGGTCTTGGATTGCCGGGGTTGCAATTCACTGACTCGTGCTCAGTGAAGTTAAGTTGAAATCCTACTAGGGAGTAGGTCGTCGTTTTTACACCCATTCGAGCCTGGATGGTTTTCCCACGTAGTGTACCGCTTCTTTGCTTTACTTTTCCGCACTTTATTATTTTCTTCTTGAATTAGGTTACGTCAAAGAACACAGTTCAAGTCTCGTTCCCGCCACAAAAGATAATTCAAGAAAAAGTTTTAATTTGGCAAATTAAGTGTTAGACCCAATTCAATTCTTAATCTGGGGCTAATTCTAAAGTCATTGCAATAGTAATAATGTGTCCGATATATATAATGTACTAAATATATAGGATTAATTTGTCCGATTTATAAGGAAAAGTTTGATAATAATTTGGGTGTGAGCTTGAAACTCTTGGAAAGTGTGTGGCTTGATTGTGGACTCGGTGGACGCAAAGATTGAGGTGGCATGCCAAGCAACTTGTGAATAATTTCAAAATAATTAAAAATATTAAAAAAATCAAAAAAGATAAAAAAATTAAAAAAATTAAAAAAATTAAAAAAATTAAAAAAATTAAAAAAATTAAAAATATTTTTATTTTAATTCTTTGTATTCTCCTGTTAATATCTTAGGATTCCTAACACTATAACATTATTTATAAAATTTGATACTTTACATAAAGATTTTATTGTGTATTAATATTTTTATCTAACTTATAATATTATTTATATAAATTCTAACATTTTAATTTATTTTTTAAAGTTTTAATTTATCTGTTTTTTTTGTTTTTTTAAATTTTTTCAAAAAATATTATCCGTGTAAAATTTATTAAATCTTAAATATATAGTTATACTTCTTTAGTATTTTCAATTGTTCTAATATATTTCATTCCTTTATGACATATAATATTCGAGAAAAGAAATTATTTCTTCTTTTTTCTTTTATACTCTATTGTTGATAGGGTAGATGTAGCTTCTTGTTTTTTTAAGTATCATAAATAATATATTTATGTAATATTAACTTCGTAGAGAATACAAAGAAAGTATTCAATTAAATTTAATCATATTAAAAGAAGCATATCCAATTAAGTTTGACCATAAATAAAGAAATACACTCCTGCATAATTATACTTCTCATGTTCCCAAATATGTATTGACTATATTTTTTTCAAATTATTTTCACATAGTGTGTCAAATTATTATAATATTTTCAATTATTTTCAAATTATTCCCAAAGGACTCTTGGCATGCCACCTCAATCCTTGCGTCCACCGGTCCACAATCAAGCCACACACTTCCGAAGGCTTCAAGCTCAGGCAATTATTATCAAACTCCACATATATATCGGACTAAATTAGTTCGTTATATGAGCTTAGACGGCGTCAACTATGAATTTTGAAATAAAAAAAACATAACACACTAAATTAGTTCGTTAAGCTTATTTTGATAACTAATTAAAAAAAACTTATGTATGTATTTATTAATTTATTGTGACTTATTTTAATTTCGATTTCATTTATCAGACTCATTTATACATAACAATTTACTTGCTCCCAAATCCCAATATACTGTTTTCTCAAGATTACAAAATCAAACGAAATTCTAAGTTCACCATAAAATTATAATTTTCCAAAGATGTAACATGGTAGTAATATTTGAAAAGTGATATCGTTTCAGTTTAGACTCACTGTCCCCATTGCCCCTTGCCATTCCTTAATCCGACAATGTAAAGGAAAATTGCTTAAATTTTCTTGTGTTTTTTTTTTTTATTTTATTTAAAAAAAAAAAAGAACAGTCATCTTAGCTCAGCGGCAGAGCGCATGGCTTTTAACCACATGGTTGTGGGTTTGATCCCCACAAAAGGCGTATTTATCTTTTTTCATCTGTTTATCTTTTTTCATCTGTTTATCTTATTTGTCTGTTGTTTTTATCTAAACTATTTTGTACGATCATAGAGTCGAGGGTCTATCAAAAGCAATTTTCATTTATTTATCTAATTGTATGTTTGTTGCTTTTATCTGGATTGTTTTAGACGATCGATTGAGCCGAGGGTCTATCCACAAATGACGTATTCTTTTTTCCATCTGTTTATCTTGTATGCCTGTTGCTTTTATCTAGACTGCTTTGAACGATTGATTGAGCCGAGAATCTATCAGAAACAACTTTTATCCGTTTATCTTCTATGTCTGTTGTTTTTATTTGGACTGCTTTGGATGATCGATTAAGCCGAGGGTCTATTATAGATAACTTCTCTACTTCTGAGATAGAGATAAGATCTACGTACACTTAATCCTCCCGAATATACTGTTATCATCGTTTTTTTTTTAAAAAAAAAGAAAAGAAGTTGATCTACCTTTTAAGGGCTCAAGGTCCAAGTGTTCATCTTTGACCTTATTATATACTTCTATTATTTAGTTGAATTTGTGTTTCTCTCCAAAAAAAATTCACTATCATTTTATTTCAAGTTATTGAAGAGGTGTTTAAAAACACTTACTCCGTATTTCTTTTTGTATTCTACTAAGGAATGATACACACACACATATATATATATGAATATAAATCACTCTAGCTAGATCTCTAAAGAGATAATTCGATGTATTAAACTTTCGCTATGCGTGAGATCGGAAGAAGTAGAAGGTTAATGTAGCGAGCTACCCTTTTTAGAAATTACTCTAGCCAGAGTGAAAGAAAAATTATAGAGTAATCTCTATAATATCATAATTAACT